TTTTTTTGCTAATAATAATGACTTTCATGCAGATATTTTTATATAATTTTAAAGCTTATATAGTTTAGATAATAGGTGCAAAGTTCGGGACGCCTAGCCTCTGTCTGGTCCTGCCCATGGATCTGTGGCAATAAGGAATAACTAAAGGCTGACTTTAGTATAATGTTTCAATTGCAGCGTAGGCAAATATCCCCATCAAATTTTACCAAAAATCTTCCTTAGTTTGGGTAATAAAAATAATGGTATTTATGTATGCATTTGTATTTTGTACTTAAATACATTTTTAGACAAGTATTTTGTATTTCTCGGCCTAGGCGGTTACAGCGCCAAAAAATAAGAAGATTTTGTATTTTGTATTTATAAATAATTTTTTGTGATGTATTTGTATTTTGTATTTAAGTATAACTTTACGAGTATTTTTAACATTTCTGGATGTAAATATTGATGGACTACGCTTGCATGCACAATTTTCCCTAAGCTGCGGCGTATCTCAGTTTTGCAAATCACCCAGTTATTGGCTTTTGTGCCACGTGTACTACATACATACATACATACATTCATACATAGTAGTCCTAATAGCGCCTTGAGACAGCACACAGCAGCCCACTCTATAAAAAAAAAAAGCCTACACAACATCAAAACAACTTTTCAATTGGGTTGGTTCACTTTTGTTGTATTTATGTAACTAAAATGACGCGTCATAATGTAAGCTGACAAGTTGCGCACACGCTTAAAAAAAGGGGTCCCAAGAGGCGAAAGCGGCGGGAATGTTAACCAACGTATAAACATATCTGCATACATATTGACGTACGAGGAGTTCATAAATCTAAGTACTTTAGCGCAAAATTGTTGCACAAATGGGGCAATTTTTGCATGTAAATTTATCTATAATTTTTGAAAATCAAATGTGTGTTCGGGTTTATTTAAATCTTGCCCATTTTTTACCTTTTAAGCATCATCCAAGGCATACACAGCTTTATTATTTTTTGAATAGTTTGTATGTACTCGTATCGGAGCTGTATGACTTGTGACTTATTTTGGTAAAATTTTTTCACCTCTTTCGTCAGCATGTCTCCAATATCTCAGTGCCCTTTAAGTAATAGTATGGGTTAACATAGGCTAGGTTAAATGCTCTGTTCTTGTCAAGAGTTCACTCAAAGATGCCAGGGGAAAAGCGTTCTCTAAAAACTTATCTAACCATATCCTTAATCTGTCCCGGTCTTTTGACGAATCCAGGCGACATCTCCAGTAGCACGGTACCTAAACTGTTCGTGTCCTCAAAAAAACAGTGACTTAAAAATCTTAAAAAACTTAAAAAAAAAAGCCGATGGCTCCGATGCTGCCAGACATGTGAAGAATAGGCTTGTGTTCCCATAAGAATTTTTAAGTTCTACTCATTGAGCGATGGTCAGAGTGTTCGCAATTTTGTTAATAGCTACTTCTCCTCGCCTTTGAGAGCAGCAGTCTTAAATCGCAGTTAGTCTAGACTTAATTTAACTTACCATAAGAAATCATCAATAATTAACCAACACGTCAAATTAAGCCATAAGCGAAAATATTTTCTTTGTTTATTTTCTTTTTCAGCTGTTTGACAGTTTGCCGCTTAAAAGGCCACATCCAAAAACTTAAGAATCTAAAATCTACAGGTTCTTAAGTTGCTTGCGGTAAGTTAAGTTTTAACTAATCGCCAACACAGTTTCTCAGATAACAGGTTAACCAAAATATTAAGTTAATTTAAGCTACGGAATTTAAGTCTATACTAACTGAGCTTTTAGTGAAGTCTTTTAATAGACCGTTTTCTCGAGAATTTCGTCCGCTTCCTCATATCCGTAAACACCATTATGCTCTAGGACCCAGTAAAGATTGACATTCATATGTCGTCTAAGACGTTGCCGAAATCTTCGACATTTCTAGACTCATATCGATTTAGTCGTTTTTGAGAGGCGGTTCTTGTTGGCTGGCAGCCTAGCTGTCTATAACAAAGGCGAGTTTAGAGTTGACCAAGTCAATTTTGTTTCCAACTTTACGGTAGATCCGATCCCAGCCTGCAAAGCATTGCAATACTCTGGAAGTCTCTAACGCGGATCGGAATTTCTTCTTCGCTTGAACGAGTCTCAGATTTTCAGTACTCGTAGTTGTGGCCGAAGTTGCCTTAATCTGATAGTCAAAATCCAACTCTGTTTAAAATAGAGCAGCCATTCTGGCGCCCTTATTCCTAGAGCAGTGTTAGGTGCGGGCCATTTCAAGGTTATTTTTCTAGCTGGAATGTCCAGAGGTGTTCAAGACGCCGCCTGGAGTCTAAAGTGGATCTCTCGCTTTGCATATACATTACATACTTACATATATAAATATGCCAACTGTTGTACCTTTTGCAAGCTGAGCAGATGGCACTTGACGTCTATCTTCTCCAATCAGATCAGGTATTCTAAAAGAATTAAAAAAACTGTTTATTAGGGTGGTTCTTAAAAATATCAATATCATGGGACACGCTTTTATTTTGTTCAACGTACAAAATAAATGCATCCACGATAATTTTAAAATTAAAAAAAAAAAATTAGGGGTCGCTACCAAAGTTTGATAAAAACATTTGTTTTTTAATCACACATTACGACAAAGTTTTTAATTTGGACAGCTATAGCTCAGCGAGTTTGTAAATCTATATGTAAATAAGTTAGAATAGAATGTCAAATGTATCAGATTTCAAATAAAAAATTTTCAAACCCCTAAAATTTTTTTAAATTTTGAACTTTTTTCGTACGTAGAAAAAAATAATAGGGTGCCCCATAAAAAAATTTAAATGTTGATATTTTAAGGAGCCTCCTATTGTTTATTGTAAAGAGAATATAATAAGTATTGGATATAAATTATGGGCAAAATGTAAAAATTCACATCAGCCCCTTAAAACAAAAATACAAATAAAAATGTGCTCTGAATATTTATTGTATCCTTTTCTTATCCGCATAGGGAATAGGATTTCCAATCAACCACCAATCATTGCGCTTGAAACAAAATAAAGAAAGCTTTTCTTTGAAAATATAAAATCTCAATAGAGGCATTCCTCTATAATCAGCCGCGAAGCCTCGATCCACCGCTATCTATATGTATATTGATATGCAAATAAAATCGCTGTACATGTGCGGCGCTTTTGCTAAACCTTTACACCATTCATGCGAAAGTTAGTTTGTCGGATATCGGTGTTCTGGTAGCGATTTAAGCGAATTAGCAAAGCCAACCAACCAACCAAGCAGGCGGCGAATGTCGTGGCAAATCATATTTGAAAATTCTAAGCAGTAAGTATACATACATACCTACATACATAAATATGTACTAGCTTAGAGAACATTTCAAGAATTGTGCTGCTGAATAGCTTAGTCGGTCTCAAGACGGTGTGACAAACAGACGCACAGATTAAGCCGGGCGCGTGTGAGATAGATACGTACATAAGTAACTTGCGTATGACGTGCGCGCTGGACTTTAGCAAGTTAGACTTTGAACGGCGACTACAATAAAAAAACGTGTTCCTCCATATGAAGTGACATAATAATTGATGCGCTAACTTTTTGCCTAAAAAATCACTGCTATTATTTGCATAAAATATTTGCTAAAAGCAAACAAATAAAAAAAGTGTGCAAATGAAAGAAAATTGATTGAAAGTGGTATTTACATATTTATTTTTGGGTTTTCTTTTTTTTTGTCGGCGGCATTCACAACCTTGACTTTGACATTGTGTACACATAAAAAGGACAGTGGAAAAAAGCATAAGAAAAATAACAAAATATTAGCCATAAAAGAAGCAGTGCAAGTAAAAGTAAAAATGCGTCTTGGTTGTTTGCTACGATTTCTTTCTAGCTGTTTCGTGTTAATCATTTTGTATGCATACGTTGGTGGGCATGTGCGTAAGTGTGCGTGTATCCTTGTACGGTGCGAAGTTTAACACACACAACCTTCGCTTTTCGCCCCCCAGTTTTATGGTCAAACTTACAAACTTTACTTCGTTTATTGATTTTCACACAGCAATTTATCGATTTGTTTTTTAGGAAATAACATTTTGCAAAATCTCGTTTTGTTATTACTTTTGTAGGGCTAGAGTGTTCCAGTTTAGTTTGAAAAACATTTTATTGTATTTTTGTTAGCTCTCCAACTCAGTGAAATTATAAAATGCAAAACAAAAATTATTCGAATATTCAAACTTCAATCAATGTATGTACATTAGGGTGCGCTTTATTTTTCAACTTTGACCCATAAAGCTGGACTCGCCCTCGATAGGTAAATTGGATTGATAGGCGTGTGTAACTTAAGCGCTCTTTAGCGTCTTGCCATTATCCGATTTTAAAAACGCACTAAAAACACTTTTTTATAGCAAAACTAACATATTTAAGGGATGTCTTGCTTTGTAGTTTACATAAAAATTGTCTCCATATAAACAAAGCGCGCAGTAATGTACAACAAACAAAACATTTCGCCATACACCCCTGAGTGTAAAAAAATAATAATAATTTTTTTTGGACGAAACTTTTAAAGAATTTTGTTGACACCTGCATTCGTAAATAATTTTTTTTTAGTTAGTTCTACTAGAATAATCGAAATACTTCCTTAGCAAAAGTTTAATTATTTTCGGTGAGCTTCAATTTACTGACATTAGGGTGGTACACTAGCGTGAGATTTGGTCAGTATGTACTAAAACGGGGGTACTTGAGGTCAATGAACTTTGAAACAAAAAAAAAGAAAATTACACCTCAACACAAAAACATCGAAATATGGTACTTTAAGGCCCGACTGTAAATTCCGAAGATATGTATAACAAAACATTTAAAAAGGCCAAAAAAATTATATTTTTTTTTAATTGCCTTGCAAAAAATATTTTAGGCTCAGTCTTGTACGGCGTACTATTTTTTTCTGTTCCGGTCTAATGCACATATGTACATATATACATATGTGTGAAGTCTTGATAAATGTACATACATACATAAACACAATTATGCGTATACGATTATTTAAATATCTGCTGAACTTTATTGGCCTTCTTAAATATCTTAAGCCTTTAGTAAGCCCACAAAAGCTTAAAGCAATCTTGAGTAGACGAAAGTGTTTGTGCAAGTTTTGCTTACACTTCTCTTAAAATTCTATTCATGTTTTATTGAGATATTTTTGTGTAGATATTTACAAACTCTTGAAGATTTGCATTTATGTGTACTTATGCACATCTACTACATACATACATACATACATATGTACATATGTATGTAGCTTGCAGGCGTTAAGTAGACAAACATTGATAAATAATATTTACATGAACTTGCAAGCTTTACACCAACTGTTCTCTGATACATTTTTTTTATGTATGTAAATATTTGTAGTTATATTTTTTGTTGCTTCAGTTTACAATATCACACGTTGCATACTATAGAGATGTAACTCAAAATTTACGTTTTTGGAGATTTTTTCATACAATAAATATGATAAGTAGAATACGTTCCACCTAACAGTTGACTAAACTTTCCAAAAAATTGCGAAGATAAGTGTATTTGTATTTTGGTATACCAACTGTATGAGTTGCCTTTTCCCACAAAATTGAAATTTTTAAATAATTCTGTATTTTATTAAACGTGCAATATGACCTAGGGCAACTCATAAATAACTCGCACAGTTCTCTTATTGCATTTTAAACGAATTTCTGCCTGAATTAAACAATTTATTTGCCAAAATATTTATGTAGTTTATTTTTAATTTATTTACCTCAAAAAAAACCGAAATATTTTTTATAATATATTTGCCAACAACGCCAACATTCAACAGCAAACATTTCTGCTGGTATATACATTCGTTTTTTAACCGACTTCAGAAAAAGGTTCAGAGGTTATCAATTCGTCGGAACATATATATATATATACCGATTTTGTATAATTTGTTTTAAAGGCAAGGTGGTCCCATACTAATTTGGTTTAGATCCGATCATTGGATCACGAAGATATTAAGGTACTCTTAAATTTTTATATGAGAATTGAAATCGTTTTTGGTTTTTGCTTAAAAATTACTTGTTTCTCTAAAATTTTCCGCTGTTGGTTTACAGTGCGTATGCGTAATTTCACGTAAATACAGCTTGTATGATACAGCAGACGTTCAAGCGTAGCGTGGATTCATGCAGTTTACTTTTTCTATTTAAACTTTGTAAATACCTCTGTGTACATACATATGTCTTTATGTATCTAGGTAAATATGTAAATATTTTTTCAATAACGTATGAGCAATAAAACGTTTATGCCGATCACAGCCAGGTTTTTGTGCCAATGGATGTTATTTAGAACGCATAAGCATGGCTCCGGAGGTGCTACCAATACCGGAAAGATTTACAAGGTCGCACTTGGAGTCATTTTTTCGTGTAATGAAACGGTCATCCGAGCGCTTCGTAAGAGCATGATGACATATCGCCGATGAGTTGGAGAGAGAAGGATCCATTTGTGGTCTCAGCTTTTCTTTTGTGCCATAATCTTTGGTTAGACATTCGTTGGGAAGGACTTAAATTATTCAAATGGAATAGACGTCGGTCAGTGTAAACACTGGCTTTACACATGCATAACGTAGAAAAAGCAACAACAGTTTACGTGGCGATCTTAGCTCAGTGGGTAGACTACTGGCTTAGGCGGCTGGGGTCGTTGGATCGAATCCCACTTGAAGAAGTCTGATGAGCAGATGTGGTGCTCTCCAAAATAGCAGCTCTAATTTCTACCAAAATGTAAATTGTTGTTTTTTCCCGCAAAAATGTTCATTAAAAACGGCCTCAAGCTCAATAAAGTTGTTGAATATAATTGTTATAAGACCATAAATAATAGAAACGAATTATCAATAAATATCTCGTTCAGTGTTCAGCTGCTTTCGATCAGTGGACATCCGCAACCTTCAACGTTACGTTAAGGTAACACGGCAAACTAAGGGAAGGAACAAGAACTCGCTTAAGTGGCATCACAATAGGCCTAAGTATGCCTCTCTGCCGGAATGTTCGGAACCTAACCCAACCTAATGTGTACCACATTGAATATTATCTTTCGATAGACTATTCGCACCCAATCGATGGCCTTGCCTGTAAATTCTCTTCAAATGTTTCGCTTACAAAACAACTGAGCCCACTCCTTAAATTATGCTGAGTTATATAGTTTTGACCTGTTCTTTTGTTCGCTTTCATATTAATCATCATTTTTCATTGCGTCAGAAGCAGTTTACACCTTTTGTGGCTTCTCCTTTAAATGTAAACCACACTCATAATAGTTTTTCTTTCTACTTGAACTCATTTAGTTTTTATAACCACTACATATTTTGATAATAAGCAAAAACGCCATTGTCCTACAACAGAAATACATAATGAAGTTGCGCGAACTAATAAACAATACACTTTTTCGCATAATCAGCAGGATGTTGCCGCCATTTGCACTATTCCCTTGCTCCTTTCTACCTTTTCTTCGCTTGCTAATCAAGTGCAAGTGCATGTTTTGTTGTAGAAAAAAATCCACTACAGACCCAATTTACAAAACAGACAGACTCAGCAGTAGTCTTCTTGCAAATGAAACTCATTTGCATCAACACGCCTAACGCCTACTTAGCAGCTATCATTTCCAACTTGTGGCCACAAACATTTTTGAAAAAAAAATGCATTATTTTTATTTGGTTCCATGGCTTTCCTTGTTATGCTTACTTAATGAATAGCCGGGAGATGTATGTAAAGGAGCGACAGTGGAAAAGAACCTTGGCATTCATTAGTTAATTCACAACATTGCCGCGAGAAATGACAATTGCAGTCCATATTCAACTGCAATTTTAAAAGCAAACAAAAAACGGCAATATTAATGATTACAATCATAACAATCGTCATTGTTGTTGGCTGCATTTTATTGTCAGCGGCAGATGCTAAACTCTGTGAAATGCAATGGCAGCTGTTATCACTATACAGTATCTTCCGATTAATGTGGGCATACAAAATTTTATTTTTTTTTAGCAATCCGCAGAAATAATTATCCGGTGCTCTTTCAACTGAACGTTTCGCTGGCAGAGTTATGGTTTAAAGTACGTCTGGAAATCATTTAAGCGGCCACCAATTATCCAGGTTATACTGTATAGTGCAAATGCAATATAAAAATATTACAAGTACATACGGTCATACATACATAGATAGTTTCAGCCCAATAAAATCACCCTAGCCCTAGACCTTAGTGAATCGTAGAGGTACTATAAAGCCCAGCTTCAACCGCCTACCTGCGAAGTCTCTTGTAATAATCGACGATCCAAGTTCCGGGCATAGAGAGTTGTTTAGAAGGTTTTCAGAGCAGTACCCCTTGTTTTTGGGACCTAATGACCAACTCATAAGATTTCCTACAAGGGATTAATATTTAATAGGGAGATCCATCCACTCTATGCCAACAGCTCAAAGACTGGCCAGTAACTTCCGATTAGATACTTGGCGAAAGGTGACGTGGACATAAAATCATGGTCTGCAGTGACAGCCAAGCTGCTCTAATAGCCGTGGAAATCGCTCGCATCTTTTCCAAAATAGTCCAATAATGTAAACTGTGGCTCCGAACTCCGTTGCAAGCTGGAATGTGCTTGAACTTGTCTGTGAGCCAGGACACTGTGATGTTCAAGGCAACGAACTGGTTGATGAATTAAAGAACTGCTGCTCCGGAATCCTTATGTTCTATGAAAATCATAGCTGGTCACTCGCAAGGGAAGAGAAATGTCGTTTCCTCACTGCCATTAAGCAGAAGTAGCTGGGGTATATTTTGTTCTAGGAAAGTTCTATACTAGAAGCTTGTT